TTACCTTCAGATAAATAACGGTTATTTCAAAGTGATTCTACTTTGCGATAATGTAACATTTTAAAGAAATTTTAAGCAGCTATCGCTTAACTTGAATGAGGGTTGTTCATAATGTTCCACTTACCAAGGTAGAAAAAAATCACTTAATTTAAAAATGTTCATAATATACAACTAACCTATAGTAAAAGAAACTGTCGCTAATAAAGTACAGACGTTGAATAAGGGTTGTTCAAATAGTACCACTAACCTAGATAACAATTAAATGGTCCATTAATTTAGTAAAAGAAACTGTCACTTCATTGAAATAACCATCTACTCACGATAAATGAGGATTGTTTATATAACGTACTTCTAACCTAGAATGGAACTGACAATTATGATTGTTTATAACAACACAGCTCCTGCAGGCCCCGTGTTCACAAGGATCAAGATCAGGATCAAATCTAAAAACTCAAATATTCTGCATTATTTATCCTCATAGATTAAATATTCAGTGTTAACTTGCTAAAACTGGACTAGAAATAGCATGTTTATGAACTTTAAGAATAATCTTTTGTCATTTTTAAAAGATACGAGCATGTAATTGTTGATCCAAATTTTTATCTTGATCTTAAAATTGATTCTCATTTTGATCCGATTATTTTTGTATTTGTTTTGTTATTTGTTAAATTAATCCCAAAAAGGTTGGTTTCTTTGCATATAAACAATTATTTATATCTCAAATATGTAACATTTAATTCTAGCATAAAACGATCAGTTTTAGTTTCATAAAACAATTAAAATAAAACCAGGATCATCTGATCCTGATCCTGATCCTGATCTTTTCTTTGGTAACACGTGGCTGATTATCTGTACGGACCTGACTCTATTTTGTTGGCAAAGGCCAATCACTGCTGCAGGTACATGTAACATGCTTCTATAAAAAACTTGAGAAAAATGTACATGTACATTAGATTTTAAGAAAAGTAAATAAGAGGGCCAAGATGAACCTAGATCGTTCACCTGACCCATCGAACTCATCCGAACAATTACCTAGACAATCATTCTGACCAAGTTTCATGACAGGTGAGTCAAAAATGTGACCACTAGAGTGTTAACAAGGATTATCCAAATTTGAGCAGTGTGACCTAGTTTTTTCCCCAGCTGATCCATATTCGAACTTTACCTAGAAATCATCAAAACAAACTTTCAGACCAATTTCCAGGACAAAGTTTGATGATGATTGAGGCAAAGAGGGTTAACAAGGTTTTACTATTTTTAGCTCCGGTGAACTAGTGTTTCATAAGAGATGACCCATGCTCGAAATCATCCAAGCTATTAACTAGATAAGCATCCTGACAAAGTTTGATGATGATTGAGGCAAAAATGTGACCACTAGAGTGTTAACGGACAAGTGTGGACGGACGACAGATGACGGACGACGGACATTCAACGATGCTAAAACGATGCTAAAAGCTCACCCTGAGCTAGCTCAGGTGAGCTAAAAAAAGCTATGTGCGACATATGACTGTTTTTGTTGTTGTTTTTTTCTCGTATTTATCACTATATTTCTACTGCGCTACTAACGCATGTAGTAAGGGCTATTTTTTCACATTTTGACGCATATATTGGTAATTTATGTGGAATATAAGCGTTATTTGCAACGTGTAAATCAATTTATTAATTTGCTTCTTTTATATCATTTTCAAATGTTCTATGATAATAAGCATGGATCTGAAAGCACACTGCTTTAAAGTTTATAGAATTAATTAAAGATATTCGAGATTTATTGTTTTCTTTTGTTTTATTCATAAATAAACTTCCAATGGAAAATCGGGCCTTAGCCAAACAACTTCACGTGCATATATAAAAAACAACAAAAAACTTAAACAATGCAGGCACGTATTGTTGAATTCAGGGTAAACTTAAAGACACTTTCCCATTGTGACCACATGTTATCGATGTGGGATCAAGTGCTACCCACTCCCAGGATACCCACTCCCAGGATACTCTATACTACCAAAAATCCTTAAACCCAGCGCCCCCCCCCCCCCCCCCCAAAAAAAAAAATAATATTTATATATATAAATAAATAATTAAAATAAATAAAACAACACCAAAAAAAAAACAACAACAACAACAAAAAAAAACAACAACAACCAATATAAATAAAACAATATATTAATGAGCAATAAACTATCCTAGTGTGTGGCATCATGAATATATATATATATATTTTTACAATTGTTTGATGTTGTATTGAATTATCTTTTGAATGATAAATTGATAAATTTTGTTTCCGGGGGTTAAAGTAAATTTTGGTAGTACAGAGTGTCATGGTGGTCCCTTGAGGAAGGGGTTTTGTCCTACGCCGATAGACTGTGATTGTGTCCATGCTATACAACGAGCACACGTAACTTTCTTGATTAAAATTTGATTACTTATGAGAACATTGTTTGCAATTGAAACCTTCCAAATTTCTTTTTTTTTGGGACTTTGAATATATATTAAAATGACTCTCGGTGTACATATGTATATTATATAGATCATTTTACATTTTTCTGGGAAAAAAATCAACTGTTCGATTAATTCATTCATGTCTCCAGTAATCTTATTAACGTCAGGCAATTTTATTAAAAAGCGTAATTCAACTTAACGGTATTCTAATGGATTATGGGTAAAAAACCCTAAATTATCTCCCAATAGACCTTTTTACAATACTATTTTTCCATAGTTACGGATGTTGCATTTTGCGCACGCGCATTTTTCGTAGGGCAAACATGCAATAAGGAAAGATTACATTTTATCATACTTAAAGATTTCAAGTTATGTCATACAAAAAACAGTAATTTTGGGATGCATTAAAACGGTAATTAAGTACTTAAAACGTTAATTGATATTTTTGACAGATATACGAAAATATGTGCATACAGTCTTCTTTTTAAGGTATCATTAGACGATTTTTGCATGACTATTTAAATTGCAACAGCAGGATTTTAATGATAAAAGTCGATTACCCCTTTATTACATAATATTGCACATTTAGGACTGTTCACTTAATTTGAATAAGTTGATTGGCAATGCGGTAATGAAATGTGACCGGGTTTTTCTAAATTGGTTTACAATATCATTCAACCGGGGCGTTTTGGTACCATGACATAGTTAATTATGTAAAATCATATAAACCGTAATTCAAGTAACTTTTACATATATCAATCTCATCAATGTTTATTAATTTTGTGAAGTGACAAATAGAGTGACGTTCATTTACGGTTGTTATTTCACTGCCCATCTTAACCTTTAAGATTTTGAAAAAAATATTGAGATTTATTTAATTTTACCCATGAAATATGGTACTATATCAGTCAAATATATTTAATATTTTTTAAAAATAAATATGAAATATAAATATGAAAGTGGGCGGAGTCAAAACTCATATTTATTTTAAGGGACTTCTTTCGCCGTTTTGTTTGAAAAATCTGATAAATGCAAAACAACTTTTTCTTGAATTTTGTTTTGAAAACTACCTAGCATGATAGAAAATGGTCTAACTAAGAAAATTAATCCGAACGCCAATATCTTAAATTCAGTAGAATATATACCATATTTCACGGAAAACGAAAAAATAACCTTTTTTATTTAATTTCATTATCAAAGAAAATGGTAACGAATCCCCTTGCTTGCTACCAACCAATCTCCTACGCAGTGATCTCCCCTTATCAGTACAGAGATCTCTGCCATCACAAACATTGAAATATCCAAATTTGGATATTTATATTTTTTAGCTTTTTAATTTATTTTTCATTATTTTGTGTACTTTTGATAATTTTTTGTTAAAATATAACGGACGTAGGTACAAAAAGTTAAAAATAAAACAGAAATAGAAAAATGACGTTAGATTTTCTATGTAACGGTCGATATTTACATTTGAATTTCGACGTTACGTCATGTGACTTTCATCATCATGTGACGTCTGTGAAGGCAGTGATTACATAGAGGATATTTGTTTAGTTCAGTGTAAGATCGGAATTTATCATGTCATTACATTGATTTCTGTTGATAAAGTGCATGCCTGATAAACCTAGCTTTATCAGTCACCCCAAGCTTTATCAGACACCTCATCAAAAATATGCGAAATTTGCGAAATGAAATAAAAAGAATGGAATATATTTTCCTGCTACTGGGTTGGAAATATTTAACTGATAAACTTTGAATCGAATAGAAATTTTGAATATGAACGCGTCACTTACAATTAACTAAAACATTCGGGACTATTTCTTTTTGATTTGACATTTCACATATTATTGCGCGCCGTCTGAACACGAGAGGTTCTGGATAGGGTTTTGCTTCAATTAAAATAAAAAAAAATCAAACAACAATTGAAATTGAAAACATGATAAATAGAATACCAAACAAGTGTCAAATATTATAAAATTTATCAGGCTCGGCACGAAAACAAATGAGGAGCTCGGCAGAGCCTCGCCCTTCATTTTTTTTCTTAGCCTTGCCTGATAAATTTTATAATATCAGACACTAGCATGGTATTCTCTATATATTTCACCGAGTGAGCACCAAAAGGTATATTTCACGAGTGGCGCAGCCACGAGTGAAATATGAACTTTTGGTGTTCACAAGGTGAAATATATTTCGATCTTACACTAAACTAAACAAATTTTCTTTTTATTATATGCAAAGGAACGTTTTAAAAGACATTAAACCTAATACTGAATGAAAAGCGCGCCAAATAATAATACAACGTGACGTCATTTACGACGTCACGTCATTAAATTGGTACCCAGTTCTGTGCACGCTGATATTTTACTGAAACAACGTAAGGGGCTTAAATTCAAAACAGTGAAATTATCAAAGTGGTAATTTCACTGTTTCAAACAGTGAAATTACCAGTTTTATATCACTGATATATTTCTATACACCAGCGAAAAGCATGTAATAAAATTCTGCCAAGGGAGGTAATCAGTGTGAGGAGTTTGGCCAACATGATACCGGCTCGTGAAAATATGTGGCATTTTATCATGTTTCGTGAAAATATATTCCATATTTCACGCAAACTAAAAAATATCCTCTTAATATTAATGTGACTTATACATTTTCTTTTTGGCATCGCAGTGAAATCGGATAAAGGATAAAATCAGGTAAACTGGAAACTAAAAATGCATTACCACGTGTTTTGACTTCTTCAGAATTATATTTAACTTCGATTTCATATTTTTAAAAATTTTCAACAACAATAATTCGCTTATGATATGTTTCCACATTTCTTTGAAAATTGAAATCTTGGCCACAAAAATAAAGACATCTTTTTTTCCCCCTTTTTTTTTTTGCTTTTTCATAAAACTTCACACTTTTTACCTTAAACTAATTTTGAATTGTCTATGAGCTTCTACTACATTTTTATGTAGGGCGATGCATTTTTTGCCCGACGCAGTTTGCGCATGCGCTAATAAAACTACTTCAGCAACGGACCGCGTCGTAAAAGGGTCTATAACGTAATCCAGCCGTCTCTGGGTTGATCTTTTGGCAAGGAGAACGTTTTCTTCCCGGACATTAAATGTAATGGTCATTACTGCTGATTCGGAAAGCATGCTGGATGAGTCACTTGTGGAGAAATGGATAATTACTGGTTAGATATCCAGGAACGCCGGTTAGATGGACCAACCGCAAATAATGTGTTTAAATTGGACAAAAGTCAATGGGCGAAACAATCAACCATTCAAACTTAGCAATGATTACCTATATTACTCTTTAGATATGGCAATAATATGTTTTAGAATTTTGTTATAATAGATTAAGCGGAAGTTATACAATTACACTGGAAGTGAAATAGTTTGTCATAAAAGTTACAAAATATAAACAAATTGATATCAATGTTTCCATACAAAATCGCTTAATTACACTAATTGCCAAAATACTATACAAGCATTAGATGATTCAGGTATATTGCAAATGATTACTGTAAACATACTCCAAAATAATAATAAAAAAGATTTTTTAGAAATAGAATGTTTACTATTAATCCAGGTTTAAGCGGCCTTAAACAGGGTCAATTTAGTTGTCGCTTTACATTTCGAGATAACGCTATATAGGAAGGCCTACTCTTAGTAGAGAAAAATTCCCGCTGCAAGGATATACTATAAAACTTAAACTCCTCGGATTGAATTTTAACTGATTTTGATTCGAGAATCATAAAAAAGGATTGCCACCTTATTTTTCTGATAATTTCAATACGAAAAGTGAGAGAATAGAATTATATTTAGACATCAAGATTCAAATTGTATGAGTTCAAAGAGATGAATATTTTTTTTGAAGTGTTGCTATAAATAGTAACTGAAGGCAGATGACGATGACAACAAATGTGGAAAAATCCAACGGTTCGTGGCGCAGAGATATCAAACCAAGAAATAATGGTGCCGACTTTGAAAACCAGATTGACGACTGGTATAAGGAAAATAACGTGGTTTCCAAGTTAATAACATCAACACGTGGTGACACGACATACGAGAAAAAAGAGGATGAGGTGCATATGGACCCGGAATGGGAAAGGCAAAACTTGCGATTTGGTTGGGGAAAGTGGACCCCAGAGTAAGTTTGATTTTTGACTTAGAGAAAGAAGCTTTGTCATGCAATTCCGAATTTCATCTGAATAGAATAAGTGATTGCCCTTGATCTGATACAGAAATATAGAAGCAACAATGTTCATTTGAAAATATCTGTCTACTCACAAATTATATAATATGTTACTCAGAATGAAATAAATGTAAATAGAAAAATATTGTTTGGATATTCTTAATATTGCTTGAAAAAAAGTTCTTAGTGATTCAAATAGTAATGAGTAATAATATTTTGTCCTAGATCAATTCATTATCTGCTTATATAAAATATCAGATCATGTATATAATACTTGTCAACAACATCCATATATGATTATTTTCTATTACATGTATGTCAGATACTTAATAATATTAATGTAATTATTAGTTGTATTATAAACAGACTTTTCAGTTCACTCTAAAAATGGTGAATGAAAGCTAAAATTGTAATTTCAAATACCTCTATTCAAACCTTCATTAAGACACACTGCTTTTTCACATACTTTACAATTCAATTTATTACTATTAAAATTAAGGGGAGAGGTGCCTAGTGGCTACGGTGTCTGTCTCTCAGCCAAGGGATCATGGACTCGAACCCTACCTGGGTCTCGTCCATGTTTCCTCATATGTTACTATAGTATTTGCTAGTTCGAGAGTGATTAATATAAGTTTCAAGAACTTGTTTCGCATTCGAGCTAAAATAAATAGATTCAACTAATTTATTGCTAGCATTACTCTCCTGCGCATCGGTCGAATGTTCCACTATCGCTCACGTCTGAAGTAACGGGAGTGTATTCAGTAAGCTGCGAAGGGAGCGTATGCTAGCATATGAAACATGAAAATATCATTTTCACTTCTCAATTTAACCGTGTAAGATTATAATACTGCCCTCACACATACCTCGCGACCTTACTGCGTCGTTACTGCGACCTTGCTACGACCCAGGACGCAGCACAGTCGCCATGGACGCAGCAGGGACGCAGCGAGGTCGTAGCGAGGAACCCAAGGACGCACAAGGTCGCAGACCGTCGGCGACTATTTTGAACATGCACAAAACAGTCGCAGAAACTCTGCGTTCTTGCTGAGTCCTGGTTAGGTCGCAAGAACGTAGTAGGGTCGTCGTACAGTCGCAGGACAGTCGCCGGACACACCAATAGTCGTCGTAGAGACGCCGTAAGGACGCAGAGAACATAGCACAGTCGCAGCTGGGTCGCCGATGATCGCCGTGGGGTCGCCTTGGGGACGCAATACAGTCGCAGTGGAAACGCCATGGACGTAGAAGGGTCGTATTGAGGACATAGAGAAAACGTACTGAACACAAGACTGCAGAGCCCCGGACCGTCTGCGAGAGAAACTTTCTGCGAGAGAAATTTGGAAAATTGAAAGAAAACCAACGATTCTCAAAAGAAAAATGCTATTTTACTAGTTTTCAGGTCGCAGTAAGGTCGTGGTTTATGTGTGAGGGCAGCATTACCAACGATAGTTTTTCAATTTATCTAGTACACTCTTAAGATATTTTCATAATTAAAAACTACGTTCTAAATTTATCGGTGGACTATTTGCTCAGTGATATTGCCAGATGGAAGTCGTATGGTCAGATATCGGTCATTGCCCAAAGATGACCTACTTTCAAATCCAGCTGTACTCATTGACGCCCTTATACGATTGAAGATCTTAACACAAATTCCGTTTAGGTCGTTCAGCTATTTATTGATGACATAACAAAACAATAGATAGTATAACAGCATCCTTAAAACTGCGAGCCTCACGATTAGCCAAACTATCAAAAAAATCAAACTTGAAGAGAAATGTACTGAAATTTCTCGAAAAAGGAAAAAAGAAAGATTCAAAATATAAGAATTTATTTGGTGTGTGCAATTAATGACCGGTTTTGGAGAATTTGACACCATATTCTGCTGCATAACTAACGTTAGACATAGTTCCTCTTTCTGGTACGGTAATTGACGTTGATTGTAAATGCTGTTTGTTCACTGTGTAACATAATACTTCTAAATAAATTTTAATACAATTTTCATGAAATTTAGTATCTAGATGGCATGCTGCTTTAAAGTGTTTTATGTTGTCTCTTTGTCTTTGTAGTGAAATAAAATTCACGTTTAAAAGAATCAATTTCTTATGATTTTCTATTTATTCAAGCTGTCTACAAATATTTAATACTATTCGATGGTACGTGTTCTGGGTATGCATCTTCAGCATCGTTCAAGGTTTTATTGTCAACGGTGTCGTCAACGCCATCATCACGACTTTAGAGAGGAGGTTCGATCTTCCCAGTTCCAAATCCGGCCTCATTGCCAGCTCCAACGACTTCCTGGCGTTCTTTTTAGTGCTGGTAATCAGCTTCTATGGAAGTGAGCGTCACAAACCGAAACTTATAGGCATTGGGGTGATTGTTCTGGGATTGGGTTCATTTATTTTCTCGATACCCCATTTCCCGCCAGATCTGTACGACTATGGTGGATCAGGTAGGCCGCACGAAGTAAAAGTGTTTTTTTTATCAACCAGGATTGCATATTTATAATATTCGTTTAATGTTTCAATCATAGTCCATGGAAAATGACGCAGATATTTTCATATGTCCATTGTACTTTATATTTTATTGTACTTGAATGTTTGTTTGTTTATATTTGTAATGTATCTGTTGATAAATTAACACAATTCAGCATCATTATCATAAGTATAAATACAATGTACATACAAAAGTGTTGGACCAAAAGTTATACCAGCATTATCTAGGGTCCTCCTTTACAATTTATCTAAAAGAGCATGTGTGTAATCTACATCAAATTACTTTTCTTCATAAAACAAACCATTAGATTATACATGTATAACACGAGCGTTTTGCTCACCTTACCTGATGCATAATAATCTCAAATAGTCTCATTTGTTTTATATATACTACTGTTATTAAGTAATTTTAAAACGAATATCAATGAACAGCAACTTTTTTTCAAGATCTCCATGCCTTTGAAAACGTATGCCGCCCTAGCAATGGAACTATGGAATGCTCACAACAGGAGACAGTCTCTAACCACCAGAATTATCTCTACGTATTTATGTTGGCCAATGCTCTACATGGTGCCGGGTCAACGCCAATGTTCACTCTGGGAACCAGTTTTATAGACGAGAACAGCAAGGCTGAGCAAACACCATTGTTTCTTGGTGATTGATTTTTTTCAATATTTTGTTCAGTTTTAATACCAAGTATGTCTCATTGAAACAGGCCAGTTATAAAATCCAAAAACTCACTGACAAGCGTCCAACTGGTCCAGTTCTTTCATTCGCCGGTATTCGCAACTAATACATATCAATTCTAATGTTAACATATGTCTTGTTTATGTAAGTTATGAGGGATCTTTTTAAAAATAACGACTTCACATTTTCACAAGAATGCAACGAAATATTATTTTGATGAGATTGCAAAATACATAAGATAATGTCATTTTTGGGTCTAAAGGTCTTTTGAATGGCTTAACGTCATGTAACGTGTCCAGGTAATCAACGAAACCGTTCAGTCTGTATGTTTGTACTGTAAATGAGAAAGTAACATAATTATTACTATTTATAACATTTTAAGTCGATGTAAAAGATATATCACGCTTTTAGTATATCACGCTTTTAATTTGAGACAGTCCGTATAATACGCTTTTAATCTGGACAGTCCGTATGTCACCTTTTAATTTGGTACAGTCCATATATCACGTTTTAATTTGGGACAGTCCGTATATCACATTTTTACTTTGGGACAGTCCGTATCTTACGCTTTTAATCTGGGACAGTCCGTATGTCACCTTTTAATTTGGGACAGTCCGTATATCACATTTTTACTTTGGGACAGTCCGTATCTTACGCTTTTAATCTGGGACAGTCCGTATGTCACCTTTTAATTTGGGACAGTCCGTATATCACATTTTTAATTAGGGACAGTCCGTATACCACATTTTTAATTAGGGACAGTCCGTATATCACGCTTTTAATCTGGGACAGTCCGTATGTCACCTTTTAATTTGGGACAGTCCATATATCACGTTTTTAATTTGGGACAGTCCATATATCACGCTTTTAATCTGGGACAGTCCGTATGTCACCTTTTAATTTGGGACAGTCCATATATCACGTTTTTAATTTGGGACAGTCCATATATCACGTTTTTAATTTGGGAGAGTCCATATATCACGTTTCTAATTTGGGACAGTCCGTATATCACATTTTTAATTAGGGACAGTCCGTATACCACATTTTTAATTAGGGACAGTCCGTATACCACATTTTTAATTAGGGACAGTCCGTATACCACATTCTAAATTAGGGACAGTCCGTATGTTACGCTTTTAATTTAGGACAAGCCGTATATCACGCTTTTAATTTGGGACAGTCCATATATCACGCATTTTATTTATAACAATCCAATCTGAGTTTTAAGGAATTCAATTTGAGAACACAAAAATACCTTCAAAAGAATTAAACCTGCATGTTCATATTATACGGATATGCAGGTTGACTAGGCTATAAACTGATGCCAAATGTAAATCACGTTCAGCTACAAAAGGTAAAGTGTTGAAACGTCCACATTTTTTTTCTTTAGTTGCTTACAAAAAACATTATAAAAACGGTATATTTTTCCCGCATTTCAGGTATAATTTACTGTGTAGCAGCCCTAGGGGTAGCTGCTGGCTATATGGGTGGAGGCCAGTTTCTTAACATATACACAGACGCGGACACTGTTGACACAAGCAAGTATGTTGTTTTCACTGTTGTTGAATGCTTATAAATCACCTCAGAGCCAGATTCTAATTTCTAATTTAAGGTTGGTTAGTCTGGTTTTCAAATCGCTTCGGCACTGTCAATTTCAACCAGCGAAGTCTATTTATTACGTGAGGAGTAAGACCTAAGGTGTTGGGTGGACTCCTGGATAGAAAATTCTACCTCCCGTTAGTTACTTTGTTGAATAATTTCCTCAAATGATGACATTGACAGGGTTTGAACCCTTGAGAGTATAAGAGAAAGTGTTTTATTTCGAAATGACGAACTGTCTTGAACTGTAACCACAAAGTAAAATATTGTGAAGTAAGTTACGCATTGCCTATGGCAATTACAATCCACGTGAATTTCCTGAATGAGGAAAAATTTGTAAGATTAATCCTTACTGCGTTAGTCACACAGTAAAAATAAATATATACTTATAAATGCTGAAAAACGCGTCATTAAACGCGCATAACATGGCAAATTATTACTTGAATCATGAATCTTTGTTACTTTTCCTAACTTCATATGCATTTTTAATTTTATTGAAACATTTGGCTTATGCAGGCATGCAACTATATAGCTACTAAATATTATAAAATGATAAGGGCGTCATTTCAGCGGGTCTAAACAGGACAACGAAAAAAGGACCTTTTAGCAATTAGTTTACATCAATTACTGTAATCTAATGGCCTTTTAGCCATTTATTAACACAACGTCACGAAGACTCTGGTCATCTAAGGTCATTGAACACCACTTCAATATACCAGATTAATATCTAGGCATTTTGGCAGTGGAAAAACAATAACGGCCAATGCTCCATCAAAGATAAAATATAGTTACGAAAATATTTATGTGGAGAGTGACCTCAATCCCGAAGGATGTACCGTACTAAACATACACATTATAGTCATTATCCGAAGTTTGGTAGGAATATCCGAAAATATATCATTAGAAAATAAACGTATTCAGCAACAAATACTGCATCGATACACCATTGTTGCAGCTTGTACGCCAATTACTTTTGAACTTATCAGTTCATTGTATAGAAATAGATCCCCCGTAATTTTAAAGGACGTTTACCATTATAAGAAGTTTAATTTTGGGGGACCCGGAAAAAAAAAAACCCCTCCCGATTTTTTAAAAATTAAAAGTTTAAAGGGGTTTAATTTAAAAAAGAAAAAAAAATGTTTGAAAGACGAATTTGAAAAACCAAAAAAAAATTTTTATAATTCCCTTTTTAAAAAACAACCCGAAAACCCCCCCGGAAAAAAAATTTCATTGTATTCATTGTATTTTCATTGTATAAATAGATATCGTCTTTTTCATTGTATTTCATTGTATAAATAGTTTAATTTTAATCCCTTTAAAAAAATAATCATTAAAATTTTTGGCAAAATTTTCCCTAACCCCGATTAATTTTTAAAAAAAAATTTTTAAAAAAAAAAGGAATAAAAATAATCTAACCTTCAAATATAATAAAAACCCAAAAAAAGAATAAATATTTTTAAATTTTTTTTTTTTTGGCTTTTTTTCCAATACCTTTTTAGTCTGGCGCTTTTTGTTTTACTTCTGCTTCTTTACATATCTTAATCAGTTGCAAGGAAAACAATGATTGCGCATTGTCTCTTAATTACTTCTCAGAAATTCAGGACTTTGTTTTGTTTTGTTTTATTATTTAGAATAGATATTACACCAATGGATCCTAGATGGGTCGGTGCATGGTGGATACCGTTCCTGATCAGCGGAGCCGCCATGTTTATTATAGCTATACCTATATTAGGATATCCAAAACGTCTGCCTGGTATGTTTAAGTCTTTACCTTCCCTATTCTTAAAACTCGTTAAATTTATTTTGGGAAAAGTCCCCTTTTCAATTTTGGGGGTTATCAAAATAAATTTGAATGTTGGCAACCCCCGGGGGCAAAATGCACGCATTTGGAACTGCAGATTTGGATTGTCTTTTATTGGGGAAAATATTATCACTTTCCGGTTTAAGATCAAAAATCCCAAAAAAATGAAATGAATCATGACTAAATATATTCTTGTGAGAATAATTCAATATAGATATAATTTACAAATTTAACATACATGTACAGTAATCTTCTGAATTGTTTGTGAAATCCTAAGCAGTAACGTATAGCTATTTGTGCAGCAACAAAACTTAATATATTTTGATTGTTGAAGACTTCTCAGATTTTCAGAAGGTATTTGCTTGCATGTTTGAATGGTGCCTTTCATGAACCTGCCATGTTATTTGGTGATAAACGTGACAAAATCTGACTGTGAGTTTCCAAACGATTGTCTGTGTATTCGTTATTTAAATTTGTCTAAAATAGTATTTTAATTATTTGAAAGTCTACAGTTAATTATATTATGAATACATTTCATTTAACTATGCGTGTCTACAGGAAGTTTGAAGTTACAACTGCAAAGGAAATCGGAAGCCATCAAAGGCGCAGACGACAATTTGCAGCAAAATTTTGGTAAAAATTGGAGGGATTTTCCAAGGGCATTGTTCAACTTGGTATATATAAAAGTTCATTAGACAAATTTTTACGTCCCTTCAATATATGTCAAATTCACATTGAACTCACATTGTAAATGTAAATTACACTTTAAAACAATTTCTTTTAATCTGCAGAGTTATAAAGGTTTAATTGTTTATTTACAGACCTATAAAATAATATCTTACGTCAGACACGAAATTTACAGGAATGCAAAAGAGACATTGATTCACTCATCAAATTAAATTCACGAGCCGCTCTTGTTCCAGACTCGTTGCTATTTTTGGCTATCATGGTCCTTAATAAATTCCACTTAAATTCAATCGAATCGAAACTAAATGTTTTGATTATCAGTTATGTTTCCATTTTCTAGATAAAGAATCCGACTTTCCTATTCCTGTCACTGAGTGCATGTACAGAGGGGATGATAATCAGTGGTGTTGCAACATTTGGCGCCAAATTTCTGCAAGAAAAGTTCAATCTCCCTGCAGCGTTTGCAAGTTTTGTCATGGGTAGGCCTTATCAGTTGAAAACTTGTTATAAACCTTATTTGACAACCCCATGTCCCTCAAGCCGAGGTGTAAATGTATAATAGATTGTTTTCGTTTTTGAGTGCAATATCGTATTACACGGTACAGATTCAATTTTGAACGCATTGTCGTACAATATTGCAGGGTATTGCGCATTTTGTTCTTTCCGCACAAAATGTGTAAAGGCTCGGATGATTTATCACGGACAGAACATCCGAACACCCTATCATCATACATGCAATACATATACACGTCCCATATTACAATGAACTCAAATTGAAAAAAAAATCCATTTTAACACGCTTTACCTTTGAAGAGGAAAAGAAACATTAGGTCAACTGGTTCTTTTGTTTGTTTTGCATTGCAGAATAAAACGGCGAGTGCATTATTGCGTATTAAAGCAGGGTTCCTGTTTTCTTTGTTGGTAAAACAACATCTCAATGCACATTAACCAAAATTCCAACACTGACTCCCATTGTGCCCCCCTTTGCAGTAGCACAGAAATAATGAAGCTCTTTCGAAGGTCCAAAATGGTTGTATACAAAGGCTCATGCAATGATTTATACATTTCACTACAGAAAAAGCAACTGCTATCCACACGCAAAAGAGCACTGTGATTTTTTACATCAATGTCTCAATTGATATAGATTATACGAGTTTTTTGTTGAAATGTACCGCTATTAAAACTTTTTTATGGAATTAAAGAAGCTCAGTTCCCATTTCAGTATTCATTTAGAAAATCGCATAGCAAAAGATTCTAAAATAAATTTTTAATCAGAAATATTGATTTCCATGAATTATCATCGGCCATTTCTTTTTGTATTGTTTTAAATGTTTTTTTTTACCATTTGGTGCAGATTCGTTGTTTATTGTAGGTATAATCACGGTACCAGGGGCGGGTGGAGGTATGTTATTGGGAGGTTTTATAGTGAAGAAGAGGAAACTGAAATGTAAAGGAATTATAAGGATGAACATGATTGCTGCATTCCTCGGTATACTGGTCAGTTTTGTCTTCTGGTTACAATGTCCTACGCAGAGTATTGCTGGTGTGACGTCAGAATACGTCTCAGGAACGTGAGTATAAAACTGTGTACTGTCCGGTTAGATCCGTGTTCGATTCACGGACAGTGCATGTCACTTGTGTCCTTGTGATTGATCTACTAATTCTAAGGGAACTGCTTGACAGCCTCTACAGGAACGGTGCGGTGGCTCAACTGTGCTCTGGTAAATTCAGTGTGGCTGCGCGAGCCGGTCTTTAAACTACCAGCATCAACAACAATGGCTAAAGACAAATACTGTTCATCAATGATCATGCTGTATGCATGCATCTTTTTCGTTGTAATAGACAAGGAGAGCATGCACTCACACTTTGTGTCGTCATGTGAGTGTCCTTCCCCCAATTATTTTTGCAAATCCTACCTTAGATTGTAGATGGATTTGTTTTCGTTCTATGAACGTCATGCTCACTTGTTTTTCACTCATATTTTACAGAGGACCACCTTCTTTTATGATGTACACACGCAAACATTATGTCAAGCATATTACATACATTTCAGTTCTTATAACGGTCCGGTGACTTTGGATAATCAGTGTAACACAGACTGCGCATGCTCGGGTGCTATGTACGAGCCAGTGTGTGGAATGGACATGAGTATTTACTTCACTCCTTGCCATGCTGGTTGTAATGAACAATTTGTGTTGATGGAAGGCCCGATGGGACCTTTCAAAGTGAGCAAATTTTCTATAAATAATTACGTTACAAATAGAAGTTCCCCTATCCAGACGAAACGTTGAAACATTTTTTTTTTGTCAGACAAAGACTTAAATAAAGAAAAGAAACTTTTCTCTTATGAAGGCAGTTCAAATGTAATGAGTTAATATTATTTAAGATCATCATGTTTTCTCTTTCAACAAACAGGGTAAGCATTAAAATCACAAACATTAAGCCGCTGAAACGAAGTCATATAACAATTTTATGAATTGATATATTTCTGAGTTACGAAATTTATGTGATAGGGACAAGGGGATGAACTCCGTATAGTCTTTAAATTGAGCATTGTTATAAAAAAACGTATGCATTTTCGCTGATCCAGATGTGCAGTAAAAACTCCATATGTGAAGACGACAGTAAGTAATTCGCTGGTTAAGTTTTCAACCTTTTCAACATATTTTTAATGAAATTCCAAGCTCGTTTCGACAATTGTTGAAAAAAGTATAGTTTGGGTTGTGCATGTTCGAGGAAATTGTTTATAATAGTTATGCCAAGAGTCACCATTTTCATGTATTCAGTATTATTAGCATTCAGTGCAAGCCTTTTGTTGTACTTTCCTCAATGATATGATATCAGTATTGTTGCTTGAGTCTGGCTTTTCAGTATTTATATGGAATTGACTTATAGATACTTTCGTTGTGATTGATAATGAAATCCTTTCTACGGTAGTTTGCACTGTTCCTTTGTGTAGATTATTTTCTATACCACTTCTTTTTCTTAAACACCTCAGCAAAGATGGAAATTTGAGCAGCGGTTCCTTAGTTTGAAGCCAAATTTCAATAAATGTTTAAATGAAGATCCAAACCAGAAAATGGTAAAAATAATGGAAAGAATTACTTTTCAATTTTATAAAAAAAGTTTTGAATTTTATTTTTTAAAAGTTAAAAAAGCTAAATAAATTGCCTCTTGAATGTTTTATACTTCCACACTCACATATGGAGGTTCTAAAGCACATATGTATCAGCGGAAATGCACATTTATCCATATCATGTATCCACTACTCAGTTTTGAGATATTGAGATCTGGAGATATGGATACACATTCCTCTTTTGCAGATGTACACAAACTGTAGTTGCGTTGCATCAAGTATAATATATAAAATGAACGTTACTGTGCAAGATAAAGAAACCATGACAACCACGCTCCCAACAACACTTCCGGTTTCCACAGAAAGCCTCATGTTTTCTAACGAAACTGGACCACCTTTAGGTTTGTTTTCATTTTACGCTAATTAATATTATGTAGAGCTAGCCTACATGTACGTGGTTTTTATGCAATTTACCACTGAACATATTTTTTCTGAAACAGGTGAAAGTTTTCCTCAAAGAATAGTATTAAAAAAACAAACAAACAAAAACAAATAAATACAATGTAAATAAATAAATGTAAATAAATAAAGAAAGACAATTTAATGTTTTTACAGGTAAACAACTGGGGCACCATGCAAATGATAACTTTGCCCGATGCGCGTAAAAAGATTTTCTTTTATATTTTTGTCGTTTTGCACAATTAATTGTTAATTCTGTTAAAAAAGAGTAAGCAAATGATCTGAAATTTTGCATTTAAGTTATTTGTGCAGACCTCCAAAGTGTACAGAAATCTTGAAAAATTGTCCATTCCCACCATGTCGAAAACTTCAGTTGAGTCCCTTTAAACTTGACAGAGAGTAATTTGTACATTTTAGGTGCGTTCCAGGGTATATGTATGTCTGACTGTAAGTTATTGTATGTAGTTGCTCCATTGTTGTTTGTTGGAATGCTGATCACATTTATGACATGTTCTCCTACACAAACAGCCACCATGAGGTAAATTCTCGCAAACATTTATTGTTAGACGTCACCATTCCCTGCAGTTTAACAAGTTTATTTCCATATCTCCGAGCGCAGACCATTTTAATCATTCAACCAAGTTACAAAATTATTGCTATTTCTTTGTATGTTGTTTTCAATCGGGGATTTACAAACTGCCCTTAATTTGATTTACACAATGTATATCTAATGACCAGTTTTAAAGAGACAGTGAAATGTTCTTAAATTTCATTCATACAAAATCAAAATCATTCTATGCAATGTCACAAATATCCACAAAGATTGAAACATGACAATGTTTGTATAAATTGAGCCGCGTCATGACAAAACCAACATGGTTTGCGACCAGCATGGATCCAGACTAGCCTGCGCATCCGCGCAGTCTGATCAAAGGATCCATGCTGTTCGCTAATTCAAGCTTTTAACTACTTGGTTTAAAGAATTTTGTAAGTTGAAACAGCAATGGATCCTGATCAAGAACTGCGCGGATGCGCAGGCTGGTCTGGATCCATGCTTGTCGCAAACCCACTATGTTGGTTTTGTCATGACGCGGCTCAATTAAATAATTCATTAAGCATGATGCATATGTTGCAAATGTAACTCCTGTTTTTATTTCAATTTTCATCATATTTTTTCCGGTGTTGTTTTCAAGGTGTGTACAAGAACATCAGAGATCGTTGGCTATTGGATTGCAGTGGCTCTTTCTCAGACTTTTAGGTAGATTTTCTTAAACTTTAAGTACAATTGTTACTTGAAAAAGAGTTGTCTCTCGTGCCTCATTCTCAATCTGAAATTGTCTAAACGAAAGTATAAGAAATACGACAGGAAAATTATTACTACATGTACTTTGATTTATGCAGTTTCTTTGTAAGTCAATACTTCTTTCAAAGCTTATTTTAGAAGCTCAGATTAGTCATTGTTATCCTGTCTAATTTACATGTATACGCCAATGGGCAGGAAATAGCCAAGAAGAAGTTAAAAGAACATTTTTTTATAATATACATTATATATTTCAGGAACCACACCTGGACCTCTTATGTTGGGGTCTATAATGGACAGTGCTTGCCACGTCTGGCAAGATATTTGCGGCACAAGCGGACATTGCTGGATTTACGAGAAGACTAGCATGGGCGTGAAACTCTTTGTTTGGTGGATTATAGTTAAGATAGTGGCCTTTGCATTCTACTTTGCCGCTCAGTATTTTTATGAACCACCAAGCGATGACAACGATAATGGGAACAGTGTAAAAGATGGTGCTGAGCCTAATGACGTAGAAAGTGACGAGAAAATAGATCTTACTTTCCAAGATGAAATTGAGTGCAAAGAATCGGTGATATGATGATTTGACTTGATAAAAAACTATAACGCCAGAGCTTTCTTTTAAGTGTGTTGTAAAAGACTACACTTGTAACAGTTTGGAAAGAACATACCATGTTGGGTTCTTAAGGACCTATTAGACGTCAAACATCCCTAGCTTGATCATTTAACCAATTTCTTTGTATAATTTAATTTTCCTTAACTTAGTTGAGACTTTTCAACCGTTTATTTCACTGTTGAGTGAGTTAATGTTGTGTGAGAGATGTTGCTCGCTCTGTTCATTATCTTGATCAAATCTAGTCAGAATAATCTCCAGCAGCTGCTTGACATACATTTTGCTTGGATTAAAATCTCCCATTACAGGCGGAGATATTGCTAATATATCAAACATGTGAATAAAGGTTATCAAAGGGGAACCTTTAAGTGGGCTTTATTTGGAGATGATTTTGTTCTTTTTAAACCATGAAGAGTTGTTGAAGAGAGGTCTTTACTAGCAGGATGATCTGTATTCAGAGGTGGTCTTTAGCACAGGTTTGACTGCAGGTCACACAGAGTATCTTTAATTAAAGAAGGTCAAACCGAGTTTGTAATTTTCATTATCGTTGCTCTTTATTAAGGGGCCTCCCCTATTCAGAATGTTTATATATTGTTGGTTATATGTTGACACATGATTGAATGATTTACTTTATTAAGTACCATGTATATTAATGAATGATCTAGCAAGGGTTAATAAGTTTTCATTAAAAGCGTTTTAGCATTGTGGAAACTTGGAAGGTCCGGTTTACGGTTGGGTCGTCTTTTGAGTTTTTCATGACAAATTTCTCAAAATTTCATGACAAATTTCTGTATGTATGTATGTATGTATGTATGTATGTGTGTATGTGTGTATGAATGTATGTATGTATGTATGTATGTATGTATGTATGTATGTATGTATGTATGTATGAATTTATCGATCGTATGTGTTGTGATTCGAATATTGAGATCGCAAAACTCGAAGTTAGTGCTAAGGGGTTAACTGCACTGGTCCACTATCTCTCGGTCAACTCATTGACAAACAATATAACCGATCCTGCAAATGTTCAACTACATGTTATTTTGTTAGTTATCATTCTCATCGTGGATCTCCCTGTTGAGCTATGTTCAGGCAGGGCGTCAGCTAAAAATTTCCGCACGAATCGTGAAAGAAAATTAAAAACTCTCATAAAAAGCACTTTTTATGCAATATAACCACCAGATAGCCCCAGGCACATGTGTTGGGGATATTTACACTATCCCAAAACTTAGCTGGGTTAATAAACGTCATTATTTTTTTCTAGAATTACTTTTTTACACTATCCCAACACTACGTGCTGGGTCCACTGTGGCGTATAAATATCACAGGAGGGAAAAAATTTGAGTGCGACTATTAAAAATTTCATTGGGTTAAGATTAATAGGAAAAAGCAATTTTCGCGGAAACAACACCCTCAATTTATTTTGAATAAAAAGGATACCCCGTATTTTGCAACAAATATGAGCGATGCAAATAAATGAGATGAAAAGATTGCAAAAGGGGGATAGATGTAAAAGGCACCAATTATCTCTTAACCACTGGCTGAAATGAATGTATTTTAAAGACTAATTAATTCAATTCATTTATATTATTAAACTTTTTTTTAATCGGAACACCTCGACTATTGACTCATCAAATAATTCCGAAGTTTAGAGATTGCCGATCGTAAAATTTTAAATTTATTCACCTGTTTTACATGCATGCATATCAAAAACTTAAAGTAATGAAGTAATGAAGTATAGCCCTTAAAGCCGACTGGGTAAAACAAACAAACACATCTTGTTTTTTGTCTCCCGCCCACAACTCATGTAACTGATCGTTTTCAACAAATTATGTCTGGCCTATTTTTTGGCCGTTCATCTATAATTTTCATATATGGTATTGGTTACTAATTTTCCCGTTTGAAACCAAAAATTAAATAAGTCAATCATACTTCTTTACTTAAAATTTTTTAAACATTCGGGCAGTTACAAAAAATAGTTAAATTTATTCCCCCAAAAAAAAATTGATAATACTATTTTCGGGAAAAAATTCTGTCATTGTTTTAAAAACGTTGCTTATTTTTTTGGGGTGATTTTTAAACCTAAAAAAAAAAATTCCCTGATTTCCATCTCCCAAATCAACCTCCTAAAACATTTAATCCCCCCCCCTCCTTTTCCTCTCCCGGCCTTACCCCAACCTTTTTTTCCTTGAAAAAGTTTGGTTAAAAAATAATTTAAATTATTCCCAAAATTTTTAAATTAAAAAAAAATTTTAAACAGCCTTTATTTTTTTCCCGGGTTTTAAAAAAGGTTTTTTTTATTATAATTTTTTTTTCTTTAAATTTTGCTTTTAAAAAGGGAAACTGGGTTTTGGGTTTCAGTTTTCTTTTAAAAGTTTTGAGAAAATAATTTACTGAAATTTTCGGTTTTAAAAACTTTTTGATTTTACTAATTTCCAATTTCGGGGAAAATTCCTTTGATATTTAAAAATTTGTAACTTGAATTTTCTAGGGGGTTTTTAAAAAAATAAAAACAATCTTTCTGCCATTCTGATAAAATGTTTTTAATTTCATCCCCCAAATAAAGTTTCCTTTTATACAAAAAAATTTTGTGATGTAGATTAACCCTTTTAAAACATTTTTCAAGTATATACATTTCCCATTTCTTTTCATTTCGATATACGTTTTTTATGAAACTTAAAGTTTTAACAAATTATGGGGGAACTTCCTTTTTTTTAAAAACTGCTTTTTTCATCCGGGGTTTTTAAAAACCCAATTGGGAGACTTAATAAAATATTATTTAAGCTCAGAAAAAAAAGAACAAAAATGAGCCCCGTCATGACAAAACCAACAAAGTGCGTTTGCGACCAGCATGGATCCAGACCAGCCTGCGCATCCGCGCAGTCTGATCAGGATCCATGCTGTTCGCTTACCAACCCTAAACTAATAGCGAACAGCATGGATCCTGATCAGACTGCGTGGATGCTGGTCGCAAACGCACTATGTTGGTTTTGTCGTGGCGCGGCTCAAATCATAATTCCAGCAGCACTGACCACCGCAAACGCACTTGGTACAGAATCAAACAAGTAACTAAATGTAGGACAGATTCATCACGTGAGCTCACCAATAAATGATGGAATAATGAAATCAAAGCTATATACTGTATATGAAAATGATATTTAGAAACACAATCGTTTAAAATTGTCAAGTAGATTCATTAATTCAGGTACATGTGTTTTGGAAGTACTTTCTTTACAATTTTAGAAGCAGATATTAACTTTATAGTAATACATTACCATTTAGTAAAACATCATTATAAGGGCGGCAACTTTGTAGGCTGATATTGTTGTTTTAAAAGCAGAGTTATCCGAACTATAAAGCTGTTAGCTTGTTTGGGTCAAAGGTCGTATCAGCTCGCGAACGTTTCAATATACAGCTGTCAACAGTGTTTACTTATACGGTTGTTTTGAAGATCAAATTAAGGAGTAAAAATTAAAATGACAAATTAAATGGAATAAAATATTTTTAGATGGAGTATACAGTTCGAACGAGGAAGAAAATGAAGGGCAAAGTAAGTTGATTTAATTGTTTACAAAATTAATATCGTCTGCACGCGACAAGAAGGGGGCGGATTATATCTACACTGGAGAACAAAATAAATTGTAGGCCTAAAAGCTTACTAACTCTTAATTTAAAAAAAAATAAAAATTGATATTTAAGAAACATTGGATTTAGTTTTTTTTAATCAGAGAGCAATTTCTGTAAAAAAAATAATTTTGTAATTATGGAATATTAAAATACAATTAAATTTAGGTATGATTTTAAAAAATTGCCAAATGATTACAATACAAAAAAAAAATCAAACTGTTTCAACTTTTTTATTTGTTTTGACTTGTTTCTTAACAGAAGTGACATGTTACATGATCATACACATGTTAAAAGACCTTTATAAGTCATGTGTAAGTTACATTTTCAACTTGCTAAAATTTCTTAAATTTCCCAAAATATTAAGTAATTTTTCCCTATTATGCCAGGGGCCTTTTCCAGCTTCTTGGGCCTTTTCTCAAAATAGCTGGAAAATAGGTTGCAAAATAAAAAAAGGGTGGCATCATGACATGATAATCAGCTGTTGAAGTATGTGAAAATAACTGTTGGCAGGAACAGTATGATACTAGGTACTATCATTCATTAACAGGTATCATCTGAATGGTTTCATTTTCAACCATCCCATTAATAAAATGGAGAAAGCCACAATATCTCAGAAATTATGCACATAATTAGTGGCCTTCATAATGGATGTACCATAAAATAGTACACAAAAAAGGGACGATGGAGGTTGAGACCAGGTTTAACTTAAAGATGCAAATATACTGGAACACTGGAAGCATGCATTTTGTTTCACTGTAGACAGACACACCCCTGTGTGAAATGTGTATGTGCTGTGTATATTCTGTGAACTGTTTATGTACATTCTGTGTACTATTTCCCAGGTGTACTGATAACATACTTGTTCCTCCTGTGTACATTCTGTGTACTATTTCCGTTGTGTACTGTCAACATACTTGTTGCTCCTGTGTACATTCTGTGTACTATTTCCGTTGTGTACTGACAACATACTTGTTGCTCCTGTGTACATTCTGTGTACTATTTCTCTGTTATACTAACAGCATACTTGTTCCTCCTGTGTACATTCTGTGTACTATTTCCCTGGTGTACTGACAACATACTTGTTCCTCCTGTGTACATTCTGTGTACTATTTCTCTGGTGTACTGACAACATACTTGTTCCTCCTGTGTACATTCTGTGTACTATTTCCGTGGTATACTGTCAACATACTTGTTGCTCCTGTGTACATTCTGTGTACTATTTCTCTGGTATACTGACAACATACTTGTTCCTCCTGTGTACATTCTGTGTACTATTTCTCTGGTGTACTGACAACATACTTGTTCCTTCTGTGTACATTCTGTGTACTATTTCCCTGGTGTACTGACAACATACTTGTTCCTCCTGTTTACATTCTGTGTACTATTTCCGTTGTGTACTGTCAACATACTTGTTGCTCCTGTGTACATTCTGTGTACTATTTCCGTTGTGTACTGTCAACATACTTGTTGCTCCTGTGTACATTCTGTGTACTATTTCTCTGTTATACTAAAAGCATACTTGTTCCTCCTGTGTACATTCTGTGTACTATTTCCCTGGTGTACTGACAACATACTTGTTCCTCCTGTGTACATTCTGTGTACTATTTCAGTGGTGTACTGTCAACATACTTGTTGCTCCTGTGTACATTCTGTGTACTATTTCTCTGGTATACTGACAACATACATGTCCCTCCTGTGTACATTCTGTGTACTATTTCTCTGGTGTACTGACAACATACATGTTTCTCCTGTGTACATTCTGTGTACTATTTCTCTGGTGTACTGACAACATACATGTTCCTCCTGTGTACATTCTGTGTACTATTTCCCTGGTGTACTGACAACATACATGTTCCTCCTGTGTACATTCTGTGTACTATTTCTCTGGTATACTGACAACATACATGTTTCTCCTGTGTACATTCTGTGTACTATTTCTCTGGTGTACTGACAACATACATGTTTCTCCTGTGTACATTCTGTGTACTATTTCTCTGGTATACTGACATCATACATGTTCCTCCTGTGTACATTCTGTGTACTATTTCCCTGGCTGTAATAAGACTGGTATGATTGTCTCCTTGATCCGGTAGAGATTTGCTGTCCAGACTTTAAGTCAGAGAAGTACATAGAATTAAGAAAATAAAATTCAGCACCGGGCTGCCTAAATAAAAATTGGTTTAAAGTCATATGCAGTGACTCTAAAATTAATCTAATAAAAACAATAATAAATAAAAGACTTATTCAGAATTATCTAGATTATATCATGGAGAAGTTTTATGGTATTATCATGGACATAAAACTATTTATTATATTATAGCCAAAGCTATGTATTATATAATATAATAATATAGCCAGTATTAAATACCCATTTTGTTCTCAGGTGTAATTTATAATCTTTCAAATCAATAAAATTTTGAAATGTCATGCGTTTATCTCATTAATTTTAAATACAGATATTAACACACGCATTTAATGATTTTTATACTTTATTTAACATGCATACTGCGTTAATGACTTTATGTCTTATTATGTTAAATGCTTTTTGGTAAAAGGTCATAGTTGGCACACTTTTTGAAAATTTGAAACTGTGAGTGTCAGTGAGTGTTGGGTCGCTTGTTAATTAGAAACAGATAGGATTGAAATATACAGAGATCTTAGTGCAAACATGAAATTACCATAGACTACCATGGCAATTACTAGCTTATAAGCCATTGGCTGAAATTCCCCTATACTGTAGTTCAGCTTAACATACTCTTACATTTAAGTACACTTAAATAGAAATAATTGGTGATTAAAAATGAATGAAATTCATGCGGTCATAGATATTGATTGTTGGTAATATATAAAGATATTTCATATGAATTTCCATTATTTTCATCTTTATGTATTATATATGTTATATTTTATCTAAGTAAGTAAATACGATTTTGGAAATTTTGTGGTTCCCTGGGGTGTATTAAATCTTGAAGTTTTCACATTTAAATAAATGTTTTAAGAATTCTAAGACACTACCCCTTGCAGTAATTTATATCATTTATCTTTAACATATTAAAGCTCTCATTTTAAAGCAGCAAAACCTCTTAAAGCAGATTCATGCTAATTTTCATGAAAATTTTGAAATATATTCAAAAGTTAAAATATTGTAAAGTGAACAAAAAAACAACTTACACAAAGCAAAACAGCACTTAATTTAAACCCATGTAAATTACCAAATAAAGGCCAAAAATTGCAAAAAAAAAAGGCCTAATTATTCTGCGTTAGTTACTGAATAGAAAATTTGATATAAATGATAAATACTGCAATTAATTGCACATAACATGTAAATCATTACTTAAATTGTGAATATTTTTACTTTTCCTAAAATACATTTTTCTCAAGTTTGATTTTCTTGAATACCGGTAATTTTGGCTAATCTGGAGGCTGCATGCACAGTCATGTACTTTTGCGGCTTTAATAACAAACTCGAAAATCATATTTCATTCTTAGGGTATTATTAAAATTATTACTTTTCAAAATATTACATGGTGAACCAGGATGTTTATGAAATTTGAGCTATTTTAGGGAGGTAGCATTTTAACAAACTTTTACAAAATAAAGTGTAGGTTTAAAGTTACAAACCCAAGAAAATTTATACTCCATCTAAAATCATAAATCTCATTGAAGGATGAGAAAATTGTACTATCTGACAATTTTTTAAAATCCTGAACTGTTCGTTATTAAGGGGAGAAAGTCACAGACTGTAAGCAGCCAGATAGCTCAGTTGGTAGAGCAGCGAAACTGAGAATTCCGGGGGTCCCAGGTTTGAGTCCCGATCAAACTGCTCATTTTTCTCACCCTGTGACATTTGGCACCCAACATGAGAATTAATGTGACTGCATATAGCTCAGTGTTTAACTCATATCAATTGCTCTGCGTAACCCAGAGATATTCAAGGATAAATGTCAATTAATATAGCAGGGGAGTATGTCACGTTTAAGAAGTGTTCGATACTTAGGGGAGAAAGTGTGTAAGTGGCCGGAAAGCTCAGTCGGTAGAGCTGCATAACGAACTATTCAAAGGATCCCAGGTTCAAGTCTCAGTCAGGCTCCACATTTTTCTCAGCCTGTGACACAAGTCAGACCCTCTGAATAACTTGGCGGCAGCTTTGTCGCAATTAATTCTGCCTGTAAGTGAATGTTTCTATAATGTATTATATTAGTTTACATATATTAGTCACAGTCAATTCATGTTAATCTTTCATCTTATTGTAAGTAGTATGTATCTATTTAAGTTTGTGAAGTTTTGGCTCAAAATCTTTTGAAATCTTTCTTATAAAGTTACAGTAAAACCTCGTCATATTTACACCCTTTGGGAGACAAACATTTTGGTTATTGCTGAGAGTGGTTGTTTAAGAGAGGTTAAAATTATTGTGAATTAGTCTTACTTTGGGATGCACTCATTGTGTTGTTATAAAGAGGTAATTGCTTTATAAAGGGTTGTTCTGCAAAGGTTGCACTGTACCAGCATTATGGCACATTATAAATTTTATGGTATGATTATAGTAAAAGAATAACAAGTAAATAGGTGTTATTTTTGGTCAGAGTCCTTCATTAACTTACTTGAGTCCAGCTTAACATTAGATACATTGTGTGTGGATTGACCGACAAATGAATACATGTTTTAAAAAAAAATTAAAGACCCATTGTTTTCAAGTCATATTTTTCATCAGCTTGTAACAATTGCCTATTTCCTGGTGTACAGAAGTGAAAAATTACTCTTAAGGAAATTAAGCACACTATCAATATTTAATCTTGATATTGATATATTTTCTTATAATACAAATGTAACAAACTCTTGAATTTTGTTGAATTTATTACTGTATAATATAAATACTGGTAGTAAAGAATAAGAAGTTAAATAGAAATTCCTGAAGCCTTTAAT